TGAATTTAATTAACGTTAAGAGCGATATCCTGGATTCTTGGGTTCCTGAATTTTTAGGACAATCCCAAAATCCAGAAATCCAATTTTTAAACCTCATAAGGCTCCAGAAACACAATAAAAGCAAGGCGTTAGAGGTCTCCGAGTGCCTAAAAACCAGAAAAAAATCAAACTGCCATGGCGTTTCCAGCTGTGAAAACAGCAAAAGGTTGGTGATACAGCAAACGGGTCGGTAAATGGGGGGGGGGTAGCATATATATATATATATGTATATGTGCTCACGCCCCGGCGGCCCCCCCTCCCCCTTCTCCCTCCCCATGGTATCTTATAGGCTCTAAATCAAGAGGAACCTACAACACCCGACCCCCCTTAGGATTTAACTATAACCCCTCCCTGGTCCTGTGGCCTGTGGTCTGGGTCTTGTGAGTTAGATCAAGGGTAGGGAGGGTGTGCAGTGTTTGTAAATCTTTGAACCAATTTCCCCCATCCCCCCTGCGGTGTATGTTCCTGTGGAGGGTGGTTTGGGTCTTGTTGTTTACACCAGGTTTATGGACGGTTTCAAGAGGGTTTATACGTTTATAGAGGATTTATAACCCATTACCTCCACCCCCCACCCCCAGGTGTTGTTGTTTACATTAGATTTATGGAGGGTATATCGCATATTTATAGTGTTCATAGAAGGTTTATTAATGGTGCACAGAAGGTTTCAATGAAGTTTACAAAGGGTTCATGGTTCTACGGACGGGTTAAATAAAATGAGGACCACCCCGAATCCTGTGACTCTTGGTACTGTTGAAGCGCGAGAAGACTATGAGGGGCGAAAAGTGACGACAGTTACAAGGATGGAGGCTTTGAAGCGCCAAAAACCACGACAGTTACGAGGATGGTGACTTCGAGGGGCCTTCTTTCTGTGACTGTTAACACTTTTGGAGCATATCTTGCAGGGCTGGAGGGGGGATACCATTGGGGGGGACGGGCTGGGAACGGACAGCGCAGGACCACGTATCTGTGTTTGTGTGTGCGTTATGTATGCAAAACCTGGTTTCCTCTTGGCAACAACGACTTGGCACGGCAAGAGATTAATTTCTTTGTTGGCATCCGTCCAGCTCACCAGCGAAACGAAGTGAGTGCGGCCATGTTAGTTTCCCGGCCCAGACAAACGTTTCCGCAAGTTTGCCTTGGTAAGCTGGCCTCACAAAACTTAATGAGTTAGCTTGATGCCTTTCCTCCCCGCCTAGGCTAGGTTGCCGGCCGAAATTAAAGTTTGCGGAGACAGTTCACGAACGTTCTGCCCTGTCAAAGTAGGTCAGTTCCCCAGCTGATCGTTTCTGAAAAATCTTGGTCCATTCGAGGACTGCTTTCCAAGAAGTTGCTGAGTTCCAAAGTTCCCCCGCCAGCCCGCCCCACCCCCTCCACCTGCCGGCCTCCCAGCAACAAACTTATCACTGTTCCCCCCCTGCCAACCAAGCAAAGGAAGCTTTTTGCCTCCGCTGCTTCTGTTTGGGTAGGGTAATGCATGGGGACGACAAATTTGGAGGATCCTTGACAACAGGAGGGAGTCATGGCGGTTGTAGCGTCAACACAATATGATGAAGATAACTTTTTAGCATTGTGCTGAAAACTTGTTCCATTGGGGTTGCTTGTCAGCAGGCCTTGGGTGGGCCTCAAAGCCTGTATTGCAGCCATACCCCATGCTTCCATACCTGCTAAGCCACACGCATTTTTTTTTCGCAAGCTGCTTGGATAGTTCCTTGCAGGCCTGGTGGTTTCAAGCAAGCGATGTTGCAAAGAATGGTTGCTGTAGGGCTTAGATTTCGGCTTGCATTGTCCAATTTTGCTCCGGGACATCGAAAGCGTATAATTTCCGTCCTCTAAACAAAGCCACCCCCTGTGCAGTTTGAAGCCTTTGAGGCTGCTCAGAGCCTCTCAGGCATTTCGGTAACATAGCACGAGATGCAAGGTAACTGATAAGCTTTTGTTCTCCAATGTCATCTGCAAAGCCGCATCAGTCCCCTCTCAGGAACAGGGTGTGCTAGTTGGGGCCTGCAGGAGTCTATGCGATTGCGACCCCATGTGTGGGGGCGGGGGGGGGCTGCAGGGTGCATTGTTGCATATTGTTGCCACCTTAGACATGCGCATGGGCCAACACTTTGCTTTATTGTGAGGATACTCATTATAAACAGCTTCAGCTTTTAAATGATCTAGAAAAAGCTGTCATCTGATTGCCGGCAATGATACACATGGACATCTCTTCTGTCATCCAGGGCTTCGGCGCGTTGAATCAATGCCTCGTGGTGTTGATCCGGGAAAAAGACTAGAAGACAGATACCACAAAATCCAAATGATTGAAAACAAATCCAAGCCCTATGCGGAGCTTTCACGCTTCATCTGAGCCAACCTGGTCATGAAAGCTGAGCGTCCATCCAGCAAGATAAAATGAAAATGCTGAGTGCCCAGCTTATCATTTACATGGATAGGTAAAGGAGGCTTCTTTCGTCGAACATCCTGGCATTCTTCAACATGCACAGCATCAGTCAGAGTGACAACCGTCGACCATGCTGACCTGTCTGAGGGACATTCCCAAACTTGGGAGCATTGCCTTTTTGAAGCGGACAGTGAAAACCCACGACACAATGTGGTATTCGCGTCAGCTTCTAGAGATAGAATAAGGGTCACAGGCAGAAAGCGTAGAAAGAAGGCGTATTGGATAGAGACCATGATGCGCCGCTTTCTTCCGCACTGGATAGACTGCGCGCCCAGCGGTAGCAAAAATGGAGCAGCATTGCCCAGCCTCTCGGATTCGGTTGTTCTCCTGTGCCTGGACTAATGCCGTGCATGGCTGGGCTCTTCACCTAAGGCACTGAGTCATCGACAATATGGGCGTCACACTCGCGGATGACCTGATGTATAGCACTTGCACGTGCCAATTGCACATGGCTTTTTAGGCCCGCGCGAAATCCAAATCA